CCCCCCCCCCCCCCCCCCCCCCCCCCCAGAAAAGAATTGTATCTACGCTACTGATTATAAGCATAAAATTAATATATTGTCAGCAAACGCACACATACGCATACACAAACCACCTTCACGAAATGCTGACCAGAGATTGCAGTATAGAATAAAACGCCTCGCCGCAAGACGTGATATTGTTCGTTCTACTGCCATCGATGTGGAGAACGGACGCTGCCCGTTTTACGAACGAAGTAGTCTGTTATTCTTTTGGTTTTTTTTTTGTATTAATAAATATTTTTTGTTTCATTGTCTTAAATTAAAAGGTTTTAAGTATAATTATAAAAGGTGTTCATATTAATTTTTCTACTTTACGTACTTGTGCGAGTATATGAGAAAGTTGGTAGATACATTTACAAAAAGGGTATTAAAACTATATTGTATTTCAAACCTCAATCTAGAGCTAGGTTAGATCTTATTCTTTGTCAACTGTTTCGAGTGTAAAATAGATTTAGAGCTACTAAAGAATACATAAATTTAATTACAGGACAAAGTCTAATTTTCGAGGTAGATTTGCAAAATTATTTATCACTTCTTCAGTGTTTTTTTGAAATACTTCGATGAATTGACATGAGAGCTAATCCTGTTAGTCGATTTTCGCTTGTACTATTTCTCAAGCATGACTTCAATCTTTTCAATATCGAAAACGATCTTTCTAATGACGCTGTTGATACTGGTAAAGTTACTAATACTGACATTAAGCACCATATATTAGGAAAAAAATCAACGGATAGTTTATTCAAAGTATCAATAGCAGATTTGAATTTCTGACAAACCGCGGAACATTTACAATTATTCTGAGGACTCTGTTTTGGACAATTTGCATTTTTTTGATGTGCGAGGATGCACAATTACTCCATACCGGGCAAGCGTAGGTAAGAATTGGGCGTATAATTTGCTTAAAAATTAGGAGAGAGCATTTTTTTCCCATACTAGACAGTTTGGTTTTAATTAATACATAGATTAAAGAAATGCACACGTGGGTCGTACTAACCATAAATTTCGGGTTTGAACCCCCAAACCCCCCCCCCCTATTTACGCCACTGGTGCTAGATTGTATTCTTTGTCACATAATGAGGTAGTCGTCCGGGCCAGTTATAAAGGTTTTTCTTTACGTGCTAGTTCGACGGTTAGAGTGTTCAACAACCAACAGATACCCTTTTTTGTGTTGCTATACATCAAGCCTTTGCGTGGCGTATATGACACATGACTGGCTCCCATGGTTGTAAATAATAATATTATATACAACCGTGCAGACTCCAAATAAGCATGTAATATGAGGAATTACCAACCAATATTTTAAATGTATAGGGTGAGTAAGAAATCGCAGGGAGGGTTGCCGCCCACCCTGCCACACAGTGGCGTAGATACAATTTTTTTCTGGGGGGGGGGTTGTTTAAGAGTAAGTTTTTAAGTGTTCTTAGTATATCTTAAAACGAGGTCATATGTAATAATATTACATTTAAAATGGTATTATTATTATATCCCGTATTTAATTAAAATTATTTTGTTATTCAATTTTTAATATATACCTAATCATAGTAAAATCAAAATATTTTACTATAATATGTAAATATTAATAAATAATAATCAAATATCAATAAAAAAAATTTGTGTGGGGAGGGTGGAAACCCCTTACACCCTCCCCGTAACTACGCCACTGCTGCCACAACAATCCCGTAGAATCGTCTATAACGATGAAGATGACGAACAAATATCAAGAGCGTATTTGAGGGGTGGCGAAGGGGGCATTAGTAACCCCCATGGCTCGTATTTTTTTTGAATATAATACATTGATTTATTTAAAAAATGTATAAATAATTAATAATATAAATTACTAGTTTATCATTGTAATATGATAATAAATTCAATAATGTCAATTAGATCACGGGTATCAATTTTTTTTTATCTTCATGTATCATAACATTTTTGGTTGTGGAACGAATAGTGGTATTCCATAGATTTTGCTACGGTTACAGATATTTACAACCATAACCGAGGTATTTATCAGATAATATAAAGTAATTTAAAGTAACACATTTTTACCACATATTTACTAGTTGGTCGTTTTTTGGTGCATTTATGCATATGGTATTTATTAGAGCTATAAAATTCCTTAATAATTTTACTCGCCTATTTTTTTTTTTTTACAGCATAATATCTGGTACTTTTTGCTGTGCATAGGTATTTAGTCATTTTTTTTGTATACAAATACATGCATATTTGTGTATTTTATAGAACTAAAAATATTAATCATAATGACTGACAATATTTGTTTCCATATTCTTTAACTTGCAAATATTGGCCAAAAAATATATTTTTGTAAATTGAAAACATGGTTAAGATCAAGAATAGGCCAGCATAGACTAACAGGTTTGGCTTTGCTGCATGTGCATAAAAATATTATTGTACCCATTGATGAAACAATCAACAAATTTGCCAAAATTAAAAAAAGATTTTTAAAATGTTTTTTATATAATATGTTTATAATATGTTTTTAAAAAATAATTAATAGGTACTATTATTACTATGATTATTTGTTGTTTTTTTTATACAGGATTCAGACTGAAGGTACAATTTCAATATAAGAACTATTTGTGTTGTTATTATTAATACTTATTTTGTATGCAGTAGGTTTTAAATTTATTTATTAAATAAATATTAAATTCAATTTGGTACTTGCATTTTTATTTATTCACTCTAATGAGCAACAAGGAACATGAGGTAACGGAACCAGGGGCGTACCCAGGAATTTTTTAGGAGGGGTCTAACATTTTTATTTTATTTATTCTTTATTTATAATTATAGTTTAATTCAATATCAACAAATTACTGTTAATAACTATAGTAATAGTCACAATAGTTATACATACATCACACATATTCTGCACAAAGGTTTACTATAATAGGTAGGTACTATAATTTAAAATAAATTTTTATTGGTAGTAAAATGTTATAAAAAAATACATTATTTAATTAACAATAATAAATAATATTAAAAAAGCAGTATAAATTAAACATATTTTATACATTATAAGTATATTCATATCATCTATAAACTTTGTATATTGAAAATAATGGGAAATTAAAATACGCTATATACTATTTGAGTATGTAGAAATTTCAATGGTGGGGTCTGGACCCGAAATCCCCCTTGGGTACGCCCCTGTAATGAACTGTAAATTATTTTTAAGTTAGTATTGAAGAAAAATTAGTTTCGTCCTCCCCCTCCAATTACCTTAACTCAAATACGCCCTTGAAGTGTCTATAGGTTTCTGTGGTGAAATCCATTATCTCAATTTAATTTCCACCGAATTTGAATTACTGTTAGTCGAACGTTACCAATCAACTGATAATTTGACTGACATTGGCTACACTGATTAAACTTGCCGACCGTTTCGTTTCAAATAATTCCGTTTATTATCAAATATGTATCCGAAACCGTGTACAATTGTCAAAAATGTAACGACGATAAAAAAAAATAAACTTTCATCGTGCTGTGCGGAACATTATTTACGTTAATTCGTGTCAAGAATACACTACAAGACGACGGCGACGGGTGAGACGGAACGCGTGAAATGTCACGTCATAAAGGTAACCAACGAACGGGTTTTTTTATTGATTTTATGTTTTTGATCAGCCAAACGAACGCCGAGTGCTATCGTTCTTGGTATTCCATTTCGATGACAGCGATGTCAACATCTGAGTTATACAGTCTTATTAGTTCCAAGTTGTTCCTTATAATTGTACATGTTTCTGTCCGATTATTATTTATTATTGCTTTAGACCCTTTGCTGCTTCCATTATCATCTTTCCAAACTTCCTTATATCTGGGTTTAAATGGTATAGTACTTAACCACTGTGATAGAGTATACTTACTTGCTTTTACCCCCCTCCCCAATGTTTTAAATGTACTTTATCTAAACTGTACTGGTGTAAACAAGTTTATTTTGGTATAGTAAAGTAAAATGTTAATGATACGCCAACCGAGCACATGTCTTCATACTGTAGTCTTTTCTACCAAATCACTGGCTTCATGTAAACTGTTACTCTACTAAAACTAGTAGAAAAAATAGTAGACTAGTGTATTATACCCAGTTATACTTAAACTCAGCTCAGTCTTTTCATCATTGTCTTGGTCTTCCCCTTGGTCGACTTTTATTAGGTTTCTATTTTGTTACAATTGATATGATTTGACCCTCTGTTCTCCAAACATATTCGGCCTACCTTATTCTCTGACTTGTATGTAACTACTATATTAGACTAGTTAAATAGAGTTACAAGTTCACTGTTGGATCTTATTTAATATTCTCCATTGTTTTTTCTGTGGACCAAATATTCTTTGCATGATTTTCTTTTTTCAAATCATTGATTTGTTTTTGTCAGACTTGGTAGACTCCAATACTCCACAGGTATAAAGTATAATTGGTTTAATGGAGTTTTTACATAACCTTCTTTTTTATTCTTCTCAGTAACATTTTAAACTAATAAAAACTTGCGCTTGTTTCCTGCTGTGATTCTTCTGTATATTTCTTCATAGCTATCTGCCTGTTTATGTCTTCTAGTAGCTTAGGAAGCTTTTGTGTTAAAATAAAAAAAAAAAAACGCCTAGTTTATACACTCGACAATAGTCTATAACATAATGTGCGCCTGACCCATAACAACGATTCACTTACATATGATAACATCGATATTAGATATTATCAATTTTTTATTTATATTCATATAAACATTGTGGAAAAAAAAATCATAATATACATCCTAATACATCCTAAACATCAATGGAAATAAGTAGAGCTCGGATGTTAATGACCGAAATTTCATAAAAATATGCATTATAAAATTTCAAAATATGCAATTATATGCCATAAAATTTATTAAATATATCTATTTTTTCAGCAAATATATGCAAAAAAAAATAGTTAACATAAATTCAAAAATGCATATACTCTAAAATGTGTATTTAAAATTAGTTTATTACAAAAAACACAGCTATTAAATGCAAAAAAAATATTAATTAGTTTTCGATCTATTGAAGTTAAATTTTACTCGGGTTAAGCATTTTAAGTATCAAAATTACACCGTACAACAATAATTTAGCTGATATTTTCAAACTTGAAAGATCTTCAACAATCCGACAATAAATTTTTGTAGACTGAAAATAACATAATTAATGGTTATGATCATTTATAATAATATGAACAATTTTCAATATTATACTTAATAATTTATAAAAAATATGCTACTTAACCTGGAAACAATTGATATATGCATTTATATGCTCAAAAATGACATAGCAAAAATATGCAAAATAAGTTTGCATATTTGCAATTGAGATTTCATGAATCAAATTTATATTATATTAGGGTATAATTCTGGTTGCCCGAAAAAAAATATGCCAAGTCATAAACATCCGAGCTCTAGTAATATGTTTAGAATAAATAAAATATATATGTTATATATATTATATATAAATGAGATTTGGAACATCAAATATGTACTTAAAAATTTTGAAGTCAAAAATATCTTTTTGATATGGAACCATAAATTATTATTAATCATGTTGTATGGATCTAGCAATGAAATTATATACATTTTATAATTTAAGACTTGGGCCAAAAAAAATAAATATTGAAAAGGTGACTTTTGATCCTAAACTGCATTTATTCCAAGCTTATTATCATTGTCTATTTATTAATTTTAAAGTAAAATATTAAAGTCTTGGCTTTAAAAGATTTTTTTTTATATATATGATCCTTGGTAAAATGTTAGGTCACCACTAATTTTTTTTATAAGTTTATTAATTTTTAACATTTATATTTTTAGAGGAAAATGAATTACAATTGGATTCTTCTACTATACGTTCAACAATAAATTTTTATGAAATGGATAGCACCACCGATAATAATTTTGGTAGGTATTTTTTAGATTCTGAGTGTATATAGACTGTATTGATTTATCATCATTTTTCATTTTTCATGTCTGCACATGATTTTGAAAAAAAATAATGTTTCAATCATCAATCAAATTTTGATTAAACTATATTACATACATATTTATTCCCTAAAAGTATAAATTTTGTATCTTATTCCATTTTGAATCTATAAGTTAGGATTTATCATTATTTTATTTAAATATTTTTATGTTAGGAAAACATTATTAAAATTGATGCAACATCAACCTTAAAATTTCAGCGTTTAAAGTATTACTTTTGGTCAATATGTATCACATCATGAGTATATTATTTTCCAATAATTGGATATATTTACTTACTTATAAATTGTATATAAATGTTTAATAATTTAAACATACTTGTTTATAATGCATTTAAATTAAATTTTTTGTTATCAAATTTTGTTTATTATATTTTAATTAACAGCAAAGATACTTTTCTTTTTCTTTTTTAGACCAAGATGCTCTAAAAGTTGGAGAACAAAGTATTAGTGCAGAATGGTCAGCAACTACATCTGTATTAAATTCATCTGGTGCTACAATAAATAATTCTGATATTCATATTGGTACTTTAAAAGAATGCTGTGCTAATCCTTCAGATACTCTCAAGTATAAAGAGGATTTCATGGTTTTGGATTCTACTTCTACTGCTGTAAATATAACAAATTTTAATGCTGATGATACTCAATTTTTATCAACACCTAAGGCAGCATTTCAAAAAAAACATAAACCCTATCCTCATAATTTTAGTCATGCATTTGACAATATAATAGATAATGAAAGTCTAATAGAAATAACCCAGAGTAGTATATGCTTGAACCATTTTCAAAAACGTCCACAATTTACACTTCCTATAGAAGAAGACTTTGTCGAAATGAATAAATCTGATAATAGTGGGATGGACAATTTAAGCATGAAATTTCCAAAATTTCGTTTTTTAAAAAAAAATATGAATCGGTCAAATTTAGATATGCCAGATTATAATTTATTTAATTCATCTGGCACTTCAATTATTAATGATAACAATTTGTCTAAAATAAATAAAAATGTTATTTCTAAAAAATCTTCAGAATTTTCCATTGTCAATAATAGTTCTAAAATTGTTTTGGATGCATCTATAAAAGAAGATTTAACCCCCAACAAAACCACCAATTGTAAGAATTCAAGTATATTATCTAATATTGCTTTAAATGATAAAGAAATATCATCAAATTACTCATCAATGTTGCGTGTAAATAAATCATCATTACATAGTATCACTGATCAACCTTGTTTAAATCATACATTTGATATATCAACTAATTGTAATTCAACTAATATAGAATTATCATCACAGAGTATAATACAATCAAATAATAAAACATATATTGTGGAAAACGATTTTACCTCAATTAAGTCACACTATAATGTAAAATCTGATATGAATAAAAATTTTACACTTTCAGACACTTATACTGTGGGAAATAATTTAAATGAAACATTTACACTACCAAAATCTGCTAATCAAACAAATACATTAAACTATAAAAAAAATGCAGCTCAATCAGCTGTATTTGAAAATTTGATAACAAACAGTCAAGAAACTAATTTGACTGTAACACAAAACGAAATGATGAGTAATTCTGGTTTGAAAGACCAAAGTAAATATCAAAATAATGAAATAAGTATGCTTGCAGATTCAGATGAATTATTATCAGATAGTAAATCGATTAGGCGCTCTAAATGTTCTATCAATACACATGAATTCGGTAAAGGGCCAAGTTTAGAAATATCAAACGATTCAAAGGATAAACTTAATTTAAATAATACTTCAAAGGGTTCTAGTTCTATGGCTGAATCAATAAATGAAAACAGTATGGAAGTAACAAATGTTTCAATTGATGAAAAATTACCTGAACAAAATAATTCATTTGATCCAGAAGACTCTAATAATGAGTCATTGTCAAAGAAAACAGCTAGTTCATTAGAGAATAATATTTCATCAAAAGATTGTGTCAAAAGATCTAGGTCAAAAAGTTTATTGACTCCTATTGATGCCAGTCACCCATTTGAACCAAACCAATCAAATTCTTCTAAACACTCAACAAGTAGTACATCTTTAAATATTTCTAAGCCAGTAAAGTTCTTAAGCTACAAAAAAACTGCAGCTCAATCAGCTGTATTTGAAAACTTGATAACAAACAGTCAAGAATCTAATTTGACT